ATCTCTACGATTGCTTCTGAGAGAGTAAGAAACTATTTTTATTTTATTGTTTTGAGAACTGATGTTTTGTAGAACATGTTCTGAGAACAAAAAAAAATAATGAAAATGGCTGTTTTTCTCATTTTTCCTTATTCTCTAGAACAATAATTACAAAACACTTAAAAATTATTTCCATTTTTCTATTATCCAGAATATTTTTTTTTATTCTTCAAAATACTTTTTGAAAATACGTTACCAAATAAATTTTTTTTGTTCTCTTATTCTAGGGAACAGAAAACTATTCTTAGAATAGGTTTCCAAACAGGCCTTAAATTTCTCTAGGCATACCTTCAGGCAAGTACTCATCGAATTTATCTCTGACCAATCCTCCAAAAGGTGACAAGTAATTCTCTACTAAGTCATCACATATCTCCTCCGGTACTTATTTGATAGCATAAGTCAACAAATTCTTATGGTGTGGCAACCAGCAATCCTTCTAGAATTTAATTTTATTCCCTCTACCAATCTACCAAGCAATTTCATAGTGTCTGTCCAAGCTTCAAAAATACCTTTCCAAGCACTAGACCTACTTCTATGAGATTCTACTTTCGAAATAACATCTTCACTACATTTGTATTTTTCTCTCATAAATTTCATCCATAAAGCATCACAACAATGGATCAAACCCCATCCTAACTTCATCATAAAGGCCTTATTTTGTCTATCAATCATCCTCAAACCTAAACCCCTTCATCCTTTCTTGTACACACATCATCTCAAGCTATGAGATAGAGTTTCCTTTATGAGTTATATCCTCCCCAAATAAATTTACGACACTTCTTATTAATCTCATTGCAAATATGTGTTGGTAACGACGTAGATTGCATAAAGTAGGAGGGAATGGCAGCAACCATTGAAGAGCATAATGTATAACAGCTAAAGATAAAGAATGACCTTTCCAAGATGACAATCGACTATCCATCTTATTCAGCACATATTGATATGTTGATTTAGCAACCCTCTATGGTTCAAAGGGACTCTTAAATACTTACTAAGATTCAGAGTGGAAGTAAAATTCAAGAAGTTATTAATTTCATTTGCCTGTGTACGCTCCACATTTTCAAAAAAGAAAATTCTAGATTTTGAGCTATTAACCTTTTCACCAAAAACATTGCAGAAGTCTTCAAGGCAGGCCTTAATCATGCCTGCTTGGTTTGCAACATCCTAGAAATTTAAAACCGATTAACTAAGCTCAATAAGGGTAATTCAGTCTATTGATGTTATGTGTGGCCAAAGTAGTTTAATTTGTATAATTAATTGTGATTTCAGCCTTAAATGCGGGTTTGAAGTGAAGTCGAGCCATCCGACCATCAAAAGGCAAGAAAGAATTGAAGAAGGATTCTCAATGCCATATGCCTCGCGCACAGAAGCATCCAATGAAGGGTGGGCCTTTCTGTGCCATGTGCCATAATGTACAGCTAAAATTCTACTTAAACCAATTCATGTCTGTTCGAAAAATCAAAAGAGAAAAGAGGGAGGAATAAAGAGCATATCCATTGCTTTACCAAGGCACAAATTTAGGAACTATTAAAGATATTTTGAAACTTCCCAACTCACAAGATAAGTATATTATGTCGTCCTCTTTCCTTTTTCTTCCATTTTTATGAGGAGTTAAGTTTGGGTTTAAGTTGGAAGAGTGATTTTCGATCTTTATGAGCTATGAGTCCTAACCCATTGACTAAAATGGATATAATGAGAGTAGTTTAGAGTATTTAAACCCCAATTAATAATTTTGAGAGTTGATGATGGTTGAGGGCCATTAATACCCAAAAATGACAATAAATAAAGTTGTTGGGAGTGTTTGATGGCCATCAATGGTGGGTTAATAGTTCATTAATGACAATGTGAGTTGGGACCTAGTAAACTTATTGAGTATGAGGGGTAGTGAGTTTATAACTTTGATAAAAAAGGAGTATGTGAAGTTATGATGTTAAAAATTGTCCAAAAATGAGGTAATGATGTCATCCTTATGATATGATTGTAAATTAACCCAATTGGCATCATTCAACCTTGAGAAGAAACTTTAAAAATTGGTATTTTAAGAGGTAAACCTTTGACCTCTCAAAGATTTGAGGTAACTGAGAAAAATCTTGTTTGTATAGTTGTATGTTAATTATTTGTTAATTAAACTAAATCATTTAAAAATTGATTTGAGTGCTTGAGAACCCATTAATGCAAATGTTGCAATATGATATATTGTGATATGAGTTTTGTATAGAAGTATAGAGAAATAATATGCATGTTTGTTCTTTTGTGACTAATGTTGATGTTTGAGAACATGTCTTTATGAAACAGTAAATATGTGATGTTTGGCATGTGGAGTATAACGGAGAAAGGAATTTGTGAATATGATGTGATGTGATTAATTGTGCTAAAATGATATCAAGTGTAATATAAGCATATCATGATCATTGGTAGGAGTTCACCTAGGGAGAGGAGTAGTTTGGTAAACTCATGCAGTACTGGTGGCTTACCATTGGAATTGGAAGCTTGCCTTGGCACCGATCATTGGAATTGAAAGGTAACCATTGTCCCATAATTGATTTAGAACTATCCCACTTATTCTATGAGGAACTCGAACCTAACTAATAATCTCCACCGATTTATGAGAAGGCAAAATTAAGGATACAACACCTCATAATTGTTAGTATTGAGGGAAACAGTGGTATACAAGTGAATGAGTTAACCCTGGCTCGGTAGCTCCTCACAAGTGAAAGGCTAGGTTAGTCCTAGATACGGACATAGCTACTGATAGCCAATGGTTTCATGTCAGAAGTAACAGGAGGATATAAGGTTAACATTGATCATGCATTTGTAGTTCTAATCATATGGTTGTTATTATTGTAGTCCGCCATGTTTTAAGGGAATGGTTATTATTTTTACGACCCCAATATGTGAATAATTGTGATATATCCAATGATTACATGCCCAATCACATGGTTGTTATCATTGTAGCCAAGCATATATTGGCTATATGTATATGATGTTTAAAGGTATTGTCATTTACATCCATTTTTAATAAATATGCAATTGTATATGCTAAGTTGACCTTAGTTATTGAATGATTGTACTCACCCCTTTTCTACAATATTTTCAGGGCCTAGCTCATCGAATCAGGATCGAAAAAAACGACCGGAGGCATAGGATTTGAGTAAATCCTATTTGTAGGCCTCTTAGTTTTAAATTATGTGTATTTTGTTAGTTAATTTGCCAATTAGAATTTCATTATATTATTTTTTCTAATTGCATTATAGTTAAGAATATCTTGTGTATTTTATGCCCTAAGCTAGTGAAATGTAATTGTAAAGCTTATATATAAGGCCGAAATACTAGTACAAGTAGGGTAAAATACATTTTAGTTTAAGATGAACATTGATGATTTTATGTAAAATTATCTTCCCCTTATGTTTTGTGAATTGAGAGGTTAAGGTTGCATTTATGATATGTGTGTTGGAATGGTTGTGGTGTGTTGCACGAGCTCTAAATGGCCCATTGAGTGTGATCTAAGCATTGATATAAACTTTTGGCACATGTATTGAAGTTTGAATACCCTAATTGTGAGTTTTTTAAAAAAAGGAGTGAAAGTTAAAAAGGATGTCCAACTTTTACTAGAAATATAATTTGGTTGTCAAACTTGTACCATTAGCTAGAGTTAGAAGAAAACTCTTTATAGACACCTAGATTATATCAATCGAACATCAGACGAAAAAATAAAACATATCAAAAGTTTGTCCTTAGTGCTGTCGTTTGACAACAAAATTTACTTTCAAATTCGTGTAATGTGTCACAGCGCATGACATATAAGCAACACGCCACAGCGCAAGAGTGTTGAGCCACAACACATGTACTGTTTTCTACACAGTTTACTATTTTGAAGTTTATTTTCAAATGTTTGGAATCCTTCTTTGATTCCTATGCTTCCACATATAATTTGAACTCTAATTTGGGAATATTGAAAATGTATAAGAGTATTTCGAATATTGAAAGCTTAAAATTCCATTTGTATAAATTGATATATTTGATTAATTACATTATTGTTTGGTGATTGGGGAAGATTAGTAAGAAAAACCTTATTGGTCTCTCCCCAGATTTTACATGGTCCATGCTAGCCTTAGCAAAAAGCAACAAACCATCCACAAAGAAAAGCTGGGAAGTGCCTACCCCCTTCCTTTTTAATTTGAAAGGCAACCAATTTTCATTATCCACTTCACCTTGAATCATGTGTCCTAATTTCTTCATATCTAAAACAAAAAGATATGGAGAAATAGAATCTCCTTGTCTTAGTCCTCTATAAGGAAAGAAATTTTCCCCTTTCCCCCATTCCATAAAACTTGCATTACAGCGGTAGAAAGGCATTTAGAAATTAGATCAACAAACCTTGCAAGAAAATTAAGCTCATCAAGGCACCAAATCACAACTCCATTTAACCCTATCAAAAGCTTCCTCCAAATCAATCTTCAAAGCCATAAAGCCAAGCTTACTTTTACACTTACAAAAGGAATAAATTATTTCCTAAGCTATAATGATGTTATCAGTACTCTGCCTCCTAAGAACAAAGCTACATTGATTTGGAGCAATAATCTTATTCATAATTCCTTTCAACTGATCAGCAAGAATTTTGGTCACAGCCTTATAAACAACGTTGCATAGGCTGACAGGCCAGAAATCCTTCATAGTCTCGGGAATCTCAACTTTTGGAATTAACAAAATATTAGTGTCATTTATACAGTTCACAAACTCAGGTTTTGAAAAATCTGCTGCACAAGAAGAAACCCCGATCCCCCAACCACATCCCAGTGATGTTGAAAAGATAGAGGATTTAAATTGAATTTTTAACAATACAACACATGATCAATTGTAAATTGAAGAAAATTTGATTTTTTAATGATCCAAGCGAAGTTTCATCAGTTAATAGATGAATACCAATAGGGTAAAACAACCACCAAGAATCAAGCTCAAGATAAAAGGTCAATGCAACTCTTCAGACAAATTACCAGACAAACTCGTCATTTTTATACAGCAAAGTAACATTTTTCATCTCATCTATATATTCTTTCATGTTTCAGATAGAAGGGAAATACCTAATTTCATGGTATTAACTTTCTTGACTCAGCCAAAGAGGGGATTTGAAGAAGATCCTTCCGATCGAGGAAAGTGAAAGATAGGATCCTCATCAGGACTTGTGAATCGAATGTCTTCCTCACTGGATTTCTTCCTGTACACATATATTCCACTCCATTTTGGTGAGGATATTCCACGCCTGCTATCCCAATCATCTGCATAGTAGTTTAGGAAATCCAAGTAGCAGTACAACTCCACATGGTTCCATTCACGGTCTAAAATTACACCATTGAGTTTCTCCTCAGGAATTAGGTGCTGCAAATCAAACAGAAAGATATGTTGTGATGTAATTGATGCATGAATTGCTTCATGGTATGGAAAGCCAATATCTACTCCATTGATCCAGACATTAATATGCAGCTCAAGCTGGTCGTGATATGGGTCCGCAATTGATGCAGCAAAACACAGCCATGTTTGGGAATTGCTTTCGGATCCAAAAAGACACTGAATCTCCCTCAGTGCAGTGGTCAAGCCATTCCGGTGTCCTGTCTTCTTCTATTGTAATTTTCAAGCCATCAATCTCATGCAATGCCTAATACAGAACAAGAGAAGACAAGAACCAAGTTATTATTATGCCTCTCAAGAGAGTGAGGAAGGGACATTTAGCGAGACAGAAAGAAAAAGAAATTGGGAGAACTTTCTAAAGAGCAATGAATATTCTCCATTAAGTTGAACTGTGTATTGAGAAAAATTATATGCTTCTGTCTACACATTCTTCTAATGAAAGAAATTAGGCACCTAAGATGATGCAGTGAGATAGTGATTGGCTGAGGTGCAGTGAAATGATATCCATTTTTTGAGACGTGGAGGAATAAGATAATAAAAAAGTGAGAGTAAAGTATAATCGTGAAAGAGACTTGAGGCTATTAGGCTTAGTATGCTCATATCCATCTTTTTGAGGAATAACTTGTTTTTAAATTAGTATTTTTGTGTTAGTTATTTATGCAAATAGTACAAAAATAAAGGGTCTTGAAAACTTTTTCCTTTCCCAATAAGATTAATGTCATATATAAGCAAAACATACAAGAATATCATAACTTGGGCCGTAGAACAGTAACATTTGATAAAAACAGGACAGCTCCAACAAGGAGAAAAGAAAAAATCGTACAAGAATAGAATTCATCATTTCACACTTGTTGGCATTAGCTTTTCTATTTGAAGTGCTCTGTAAGAAGCCATAGAAATACCATCAAAAGTAAGACGTGTGTGTATGGAGAGAGAGAAAGATTAACCTGATTGAGTAATATTTTCCGAGACTCTGAGCTTAAATGTGAGTACCAGTTTACATTAACTAACTCCAATTCTTTGATGTTTGGAGAAATCCCTCTAACTTCCTGAAGCCTCAAGCACCTTGTAAGTTCTAATTTTTGCAACCCAGCAAGGTTTTTGAATGACAATGGCAGTTCTTCTATGCCACTATAGTTTAAATTAATCTCTCTTAAATTTTCCATTGTTCCTAATATTTCTGGAAATTTCTGAAGGCTCTCGCACTCTGAGAGGTCAAAATGTTCAAGAGACCTTAACCAGATGCTCGGAAAGGTCCTGAGCTTCCTGCAGTTCTTAACACTTAGCCTTTTAAGTTTACCAAGAAAACCAACTGAAGGATGAACACTAATTAAATCTTTGCAGCCTTCCAGCCATAATTCATTCAAATTTGGGACTTCAGACAAGTCAGGAATTCTTTTTACACGTTGGCAGCCTCTGAAATCCATGACACATAGAGACTGGAACATCTGCAAAACAATATTAAAAGTAACCAGTCTTAGTATTTTGTAATCACAACATAAAACAATGAAAAGCACAAAGAATGATATAGACATGCGTGAAATAGATAAAACTTAAAGAATCTACATGAAATTAAAAAGCACAATGTTGTATCTAGTATGGATGTCTGACACGTGCCCACAATTTTAGGAATCTTTATGCTTCATAATAAATAAATAAAAAAATATTGTTGAGCAATGGCCAATACTCTACATGCCTTCAGGGATTCAGTCAGCATGAAACAACTTTCCGGCATCCTCAATATAACTAGTTGCTTTGGGTTGAAATGACATGGTAGATGTGAATAAGGATATCCCTTCCAGTCTAGCACTTTTAAACTACTTGGGAGATACTTGGGACTTGTGGAAAATCGTGCATTTCTAATAATAAGCATCATAAGGTTTGACATCTTTTTAAATGCCATTCCATCCCATTTAACCTCTTTATCTCCAAGCATGTCCAGATTTATGGCTTCAATCTTCTCAGTTCCCTTTCAAACCAAATCATAAGTTCACCACAAAAACTGTTAGATGCGTTAATAATTGAAACAAGTTCATAAAGAAATGTACAGATTCTAACCAATTTCTAATAAATAGTAGCTTATTCAAGGAAGTAGAAGAGGGGGAAAAATAGATGCACTTGAGATTGCTTGAGTAGGGGATTTAATGCTAGGCAAAACTTGAGAAAACTATTAAAAGTAAAGAAACAACATACAAGCACATGACTCTAAACTTACTTTGTTCTCTTCTAAAATGGAAATAATGTCTTCATTGAACCACAACCTAGACCGTTTTTCAGGCTCCTTTGGTGACTGCCGCCGGACAATTTCCTTGCCCATTCCTTGAATCAAGTCATGCATTGTCACAAAACCTGAATCAATCTTTATGAGACATTTATCGATCAACACCTGAATAGCATATTTTGGGCATCTACCACGGGCCGATAGGGCCCTTGTGACATATTCCAATGTGTCACCTTTAAAGCAACAGGAAATGTCTAGAAAAATTTCCTGATGATATTCTTCCAAAGCATCATAACTTATTTCAAGTATCTTTCAGATATTTTGATCAGGAATTAACCGCCACTCATCTAATGCAGAATTCCAATAATTTATTCCTCTGTTGAACAAGTTGGAACCTAAAACTTCCAAAGCCAATGGAAGACCAGAGGCATATTGTACAACATTGTTTAATTTGTCCATGTAACTTTGCTCAGCCCTATTTTGTTTAAAGGCATTCCATTTGAGCAGTTCAAGAGCTTCTTCTGGATTTAAACTCTCTACATCATAGATTTTGTTAACACCATGTGTTTTCTAGCAAATGTTTATCCCTTGTTGTTATAATGATTCTACTACCAGAACATAACCAATTAAGTCCCACAGCAAGAGCGTGCAATTGCTTTAGCTTATCAACATCATCAAAAACTATAAGAACCTTCTTTTTGCGGAGCTTGCGTTTTATCATTGGGATTCCTTGATCGACATCCCCAACGTTGATAATTTCCCCAATCACATTATAAAGGAGCTTTTGTTGGAGATGTAATAGGCCATGCTTTTGTGAATCTTCTCGAACATTAGCAAGAAAACTAGAGCTGTCAAATCGATCAGCAATCAAATTGTATACTGCACGAGCAATTGTTGATTTGCCTATTCCGCCCATGCCACAAATCCCTACCATTTGGACTCCCTCAGACTGAATATCCAAAAGAGAGTTTACTTGTAGCACTCGAGACTCAAATCCAACTGGATAGTGAGCAACATGTAGAGGTTCACGGTCAATCCTCCCAGACACCTCTTTAACGATTTTCTGAATAAAACCACTTTCGTATTCTTGCCTGGCTCAATAAGAAATTTTGTGAAAGTTCATATCAATCAAATTATTTTGCAACATCAATACGTGCCAAATGCATTAAATCAAACATATAAACACAAAACAGCACTTCAAATATAAAATTTGAAGTCTTCATGTTCTGAAATGTCCATGCTCCTTAACGTCTTAGAGATTAAACATGTGATACTGATTGACTAACCGTCAAACACACTGTAAGCCATGCTACATCTGCCAAGAATAAGCACGTGCTTTGTTTACTCGTGTCGAACTCATGACTAACACTGGAATCAGTCGAAATATAAGATTTTTAAATTTTGTTTAGTCATCATGTGTGCCAGTGTTTTGTGCTTCTAAAACAAAAATCAAATGACAAATAAATTTTAAAAAAAAATGTATCAGACAAAATACAAGAAATGAGAGTTACTTTCAATATCAAATAAACGAATAAAATAAGTAAAGCAAGGAAGAATAATATACTCAGATACCCAGGTTTGAAAGTGAAACCGGAGATATCGGCAACATCTTGCAAAGCCTTTCTCCACTTTTGCACCTTATCCTTGTCATTCTGGAACCTTGTATCATACTGAGCGAACGCTTCTCCATAAATTTCTTTCTGATGCCGTACTTCCGACGGTTCCACGTTGTAAAAAACAGGCAAAACCAATCGACCATTCCCCTTTATACAATCAAGGATCTGAACAAGCTCATCTAAACAAAAGGTTGAGGAAGCATAGTCCCTAGAGAGAACAGTGATGGCAATTCTAGACTCACTGATTGCATTGAGAAGGGCTGGAGTAATCTTTTCTCCTCTTCAAAGCCCCCTGTCATCCATAAAGGTATCGATGCTCCTTTGATCCAGAGCGTTATAGAGATTTCTTACAAAATCAAAGCGAGTATCTTCCCCTCTGAAATTGAGAAAGACATCGTAAGTCCATTCGTAGCTGAACGTAGAGGAAGAGAGAGAGGAAAATGATCTCGATCTCTCTGCCATGGGAGCTAGTTCAGAATTCAGATTGGTGTTGCCGCTGGACTAGAAAGGTCAATGCTTCAAAGTTTCTGCACTAAAAAGGAATCAATGAAAACGGAACACAAAATTAAGAAACAATTCCATCGGCGTCCGCGCGCTCAAGCCAATGAGGGATGCAGATCGTCTCAGCAGCACCTTCCCTCAGCGTCCCACATCACAGCCCTCCAATAAACATTCAATGTTCTATATTTTGCCGAATCATCTGATGTAAAAATAATTTTATTTTAAAAATTAATTTCCATTAAATTAATTTTTATTTTATTTTTTATCTTCAAAATTTATTTTAAAAAAGTAATGTTCAGACTCTAACTTAATTTATTTAATAAAATTTTTTTAAAAAAAATTTATAAAATAAGTTAAACTTTAAACAAATATTTACAATTTAATTTATTTAAGCTTTGACATAATTTAATTTATTCAAGCTTTGACATGATTTATTTAAAAAATTTACAGGATAAATCAAACTATAAATAAATATTTATAATTAGATTTATTCAAAATCTAATATGATTTTTTTAAAAAAAAATTAAAAATAAAATAAAATAAGTTAAAAGAATTAATTTTTAAAATAAAATTATTTTTATATCAGATGATATGATAAAATATAAAACATTGAATGTTTATTGGAGGGCTGTGATTTGAGATGCTGAGGGGCGCTGACAGAAGGCGCTGCTTGGAGGATATGGACCCAGCCAATGAGTTCACCTTAGCTTGCCAATTGTTGATGTCGAGACAAGGGAGACAACCACTCCAGCGAGTGATAACTTTTGATAAACAAAAATAAAAGGGAGAATTGCTCAAAAATGCCCCGTTGAAAAGTTTTTTCCCCTAGCGTCCCTGACTTCAAAGGAAATAAGCTTAACTGTAAAAGGACCAAAATGCCCATAGCAAGTTGAGTTGGAAAAAAACAAAGAAAAAAATTATTTTCCACTATATGCAAATTTCTTCGGCAATTTCTTTCCTTTAATTGCAAAAGTCACCCTCCCATGCACTAGTTTTTCCCACATCTGCAAGATATTTTTCAATTATATGCAAATTTCTGCGACAATGTGCAAGCTTACCATGTGCGTAAACTGTAAAGTATCTCCAACAAGATGCAATGTTTTTTCAGTTATATGCAACATCCTTCCAAAAGTACACAGTTGCTTAAACTACATGCAATTTTTTTTTTATTATGTGCAAAAGCCATCCACCATATTTTATATTTAGGGTCTGGTTTTAACAAAATAATATATTTTTAATGTTCAGACTTATTATCATGAAATAATATTTAAAATTTATTTTAATCTTAATTTTAAAATTTTAAGATCCACAAATTTTTTTAACTGAAAATCCACAAATTTTTTTTAAAAAAAATATTTGAGTCTTCTACATTTTTAAGTATCCAAAAAAGTATACTTTTTATTTTTTGATAAAAAATTTATTTTAAACTAAAATAAAATTTGATTAAAATAAAAATTTGACAATTAAGATATTCAAGCTACCTCAAATAAGCTTGAATCTAAAGAATTAGGATAGAACTTCGCTATATAGCTTTTTGATTAGTTCAGACTAATTATTGATTCCGCTTGAATTTAACTTAACCTGCTCAAATTACCAACCTTAGATTAAAGGTCCTAGTTTCAAGCTTGTGGTTTTTTTTTTTCTTTTAACACCGGAGTTTCAAGCTTGTGGTTTGATTGTCCATTGTCCAGGAAAAAAAATGTCATGAAATGACAAAACATTAAAGAGGATGTATCCTCATTGAGTAAAAATAAGAAAAAATTTAATTATGTACTCTTCACAATTTCGACTCAATTAAAATTCACGTATTGAAGTTAATTAAAAAAAAATTCCTCCTTCACTTTTGGCTCAATATAACTTAATCTCTATAATTTTAATTATTTAAAATATTAACCTCTATTTTTTAAAAAATAAAATTATAAAGACTAAAATTATTTCTTAAAACTTAAATACTAATAATTTAAACTGCTAAAATTCTAGGTCTTAATTACCATGAAAGTTTATAGATTAAATGTCAACCCAATCAAAATTATAAAGATCAAATTATATTCAATTAAAATTAAAAAAATAGATTACAATCGAGTCAAGACTCTAAAATTAAATAATTTTTTTTCTACAAATAAATAAACACCACAGAAGAACATTTGGACTTGCTCCCCAAGTTTGGCTTTGCTTGCTGTTTTAAGAATCTCAGACTTCTGGATTAGTTTTTAAGGCTTTATATTATTTTCAAGAGAAGTTAAGCTTACATTCACAAACCTTGAGTCAGCTTCTAGCCCAAGACACCTAATTTATTATTATATACCCTTATTTTCATTGTGTTGTATAATATACAACAAATAATATATAATTGATATTTATTAGGATAACATTGTAAGTGGACATACAATCAAAAGTCTTTACTCTTGTTGTAAAACCCTAACTAAACAGTTAAAAAGCATCAATCTTCAGTGTTTTGATAGGATTATGAAAGCGTAAGAGCTAAACTCACGCCATTTTCCTCACGAGTCATCAACCACCCCTGGATTGGAATTTGCTACGTCAAAAATCTTCCATTGCAGAAATCCGAACCATTACTTCTAACCTGGGGTAGATAAGGACCATCCAAAATATGAGAAGAATTAGGGCAAAGTAGAATTAGGTAAGCCTGATCCCTTATGACTGTTGAGCAGTGAAGCTCCACGTTAAATTGTTATCAAGAAAGAAATGCAGCGAGCAAACCAGCCACAAGCAGATACAGTGATTCCCAAATCCTAATAGATCAAGGAAACAAACAGTCCTATCCCATGGATTATTTGAAAGAAAAGAAGATAATTTAGCATGCCTGAACGTGAGCATGTAAAAGCATCATCATCATCCTAACTACCCTTTCCCTATATTCCCAATTGTTTCTCCAGTCAACAAGTCAGCTTTACAGGTTGAAGCTCCCTCTTGTTCTAAGGAAGACTACTTGGATGTTTGCCAGACATAACATAGAGCAATTGAGCTAAAACATTCTTGTCTGTATTTCATGATGCAGAAGCCTCACATCACACCACAACACAGCCAGGCATACAGACTTCCAGTAGGAGACAATCCAACCCACTCACCACTTTTCATCATCCACTTTTCTTTTCTTTTTGATTTTTTTCCTTTTTTTACATAAAATATGTAAGAACACCTTGGAATCGATCATGATTGGCGGTTTCAGTTAAGGAGAAGCCCATTCAAAGTAATGGCAGCGGGCGCCTCTAGCTGCAGTCCAATTTCCACAGCCAAAGAAGAGGCTTCCTTGCTTGGGACCTGGCTTCCTCACCATTCCCCTACTGCTTTTCACCCCACAGAAACAGAAAGGGTGATACTGAAACATAGGGGTATTCATATCCTTTACTTTGTAGGGATGATGAGGGAAAACACTGATGTGCTCCGGCAAATGCCCCCGCATCAGTGATCGATCAGCAGCCTGCCACATAATGGAATTTGTGATCGAAAATCTAAAACCCCTGTGCATGAGGAGTGCCAGCAGGCGAGCAGTGTTTTTGGCATCATCCAAGCCACAGTGAGCCCGGCCTTGCCAAGCCAAGCCTGCCATCTCAACAGCCTCCTTTAGATTGCACCTTGCAGCACCATATACTTCACGGAAAGGAATCTTTAAGTTGATCCAGCTAATGAAAGATAAGCAACAGAAAAAGCTCAAGTCAGCCAAAAATGAAATTCAGATAGACATTGAAGGCATCAATCAACCCACTGCTGCAGCATTTACCGGTTGAAATAAGGAGGCTTCCGTATCTTCTTAAAACGGCACTCGGATTCCAGCATCACTCGACAGTCCCAGTTAGACCATGTAACAACAGCAAAGTTGGTGTTCTTTATTCCTTTTTTCTCAAGCCATTATCATGCCTAAGGAGAGCCTCGCCCAATGTAACCCCTCTGTCCACCTGAACCACACAGTCAGAATGCAATTAACAATCTACACTGCATGGACGGGAATAAAAAGCTTAATGAAATAGTTGAGGAGCTACAAATAGAATAGCAAGACACAAAAGTAGAAAGAGCATTGTGGTATTTCTACGGAACTATGGGTCAAAGACAACTTTTGGTCATATGATGCTTCTGGGATTACATTAACTTCACCAACATACAATCAAGCATCAAACAAGCTTCTAGAAGCAGGATCTTTCTAGTTTCACTACAGCATTCAACCCACGTTGTGTGACACAATCCATCCTTACTTAGAAGAGCTAAGCATTTGAGCTTTCATATAATGTAAAACCTGGCCTAGATTACCAAGGACAAACTGATTTATTAAATTTTTATAAAGAACACTTTATATCATACTGACTGGAACCCGATGGTCAGTGGAACACCAAACAAAAATTCTTAATAGAAGAAGCATGCAATTTGTGAGGACACACCCAATGTCCATCAAACGCCCAAAAAAAACTTACAAAACATCTAGCTCGCTGCTTCACAATGTAAAAACAACTGTGCAGCTACTTCTAATCTTGAATTAAAGCAACACAACACACAAGATTCAAGCCTTTTTGGGTCTACAAAAACTACAGTACATCACAAGTATTAATCTAATTGAGTCGCCCAGTCCAAATAAAGACTCAACAATAGAGGAGTTCGGTTTTCACAGAGATTGTTGTGCTAGGAGTTTTTGTTTGAAAAATGGTCAAGAAACTGAACGACTTCAATTAAGCTAGTAGCTAGGAGAATTGAGTGTCCACATTCTCCTGTCCCAGATTAGAAGGCAGAATAGCAGAATCAAGCAAATCCAATAAGGACACCAATTCAGATAGTTTTTTATCAAACAAGTTTCTAGAGTTATGGAAAATCCAAACAATATTGGAGTACTAGTTTTGGCATAAGTCAATGACAACCATCCATTGACCTTCGAACTAAATTAAGCTATAAGTTGACATTGTCTGTACCAGAGTTTTATAACCAAAGGACTTTCATGCATGGGGCTATGTAAAATATTATTAGAAACAATTCATATGCCTTCACTTAATAGTTTAATGTTTTGGATTGAAGTGATCTTTCAAATGGTATCAGATCACAAGGCATAGGAAAGCCTGTGATATGTTGAAGCTTAAGACAAAAGCTTTCACATGAGAAGGAGTCGAAAGATTATAACTAAATTCTCTGTAAGTCTTTGATTAGTACTTTAAGTAGTAGTTGAAAATTGGCATACTCCTAAGAAATAAACTTCCAAGGACTCGCATGAGAGGCATTAGTCATAATTTCCATTTTTCTTCCAATACAATCCACTAACATGAATTAAAACTGATTTCCCAAAATGAATTCCTGTACAATGTCCTTATCCTAAAGGCAGTTCGCATTTCAATAGAATACTTCAATTTTCTTGCTATTCAAATGGTTCCAAAAGGCAAAAAAAATTGCAGCTTGTCATATTTGAATTCATTCGCCACATTACACATGGATAACTAGAGAAATCTTCAAGGTATCACCCTGGTTAAATCTGTAAATCATAAGTGAAAGAAAATCATAGTTCAGTTCTGTATGCTAATATAACCCTACCAAAGAGGAATATAGTCAAGGTCTGGGAGAATTCAGTATAACTCACAACAAAATAGTTGTCCAAGCAATTATTTTGTCAGAAGGCCTGGAATCTAAATCACAACTCATTTTCTCCTGCATGATTTTTTTGGAATAGAATGAAATGTTTTAGAGAAAGGAGGATACACAAAAAAAAAAAAAGTGTGTGTGTGTGAGAGAGAGAGAAAGTACAAGAGGTCGCCAACTGTCAAAGAAAAGAAACCAAAAGGAAAAAAGAAGCACGACAAATTCCCTTGAAAGAGCTTTCCAATCCATAAGAAAACCCCCAAAAGTAACTGCTTATTGAAACCCAGCATAAGTCATGAGAGGTTGTTCTATGCAAATATATAATCCAATTTCTTTACTTGCAAGCAGATTCTAACAGTTTATAAAAGAGGGAAAACCATAATAAAAATTTCCTTCACAGGCACTAAGAGTGGAAACCATTTACAAATATTAAAGAAAGCACGATATTTGATGTATACAAAACAAGGTTATTGCTAGGTGCTGATTCACTAAGG